TTAAATGTTTTTTCACTCCTCCTTTCTGTCGCAGGGAGACTACAGACAGCTGGTTCACGAGCTGGACCAGTGTCAGTACAGAGAGCTTCGCCTGGTGGTCTTGGACATCCGCAACACATACGTAAGACGCCATATCGCCACGCTGTTGTTGAACTGATTTAGGGAAAAAAAAGTTGCTAATCACATGTATTAAAGAGGACACAGCCATCTGCTGTGCTTCGAATCAGATATCCAGCATGTAAACGATTCCAGCTGTGTCCGATGGTTCAGTGGTGCCCCAGTTAATAGGAAGGCAATTAAACAAATTGCTTTGCTTGTGTTTAAACTGATTAGCGCGCCACATCCTTTCCAAAAGCCCATGCTTCTCGTCCCTTTGGTCATTGTCCTCCTGTGTTTGACGCTGGCGATGAAGACGGCTCACTTGGGTCTCATTTTCATCTTGCTGTTTCTCTCTCTCTTCCTCTCTCGCCCCTCAGGCGGTGCTGTTTGACATCATTAACAAGAACTATGACAAGATTAAGAAGCCCAGAGGAGACGGGAAAGCTCTCATCTACTGAGACCAGCTTTTTTCTTCTTCTTTGTTTTTTTTTTTTTTTTTTGGGTTTTTGTTTTTTAGACAAGCTACTGTTCTGTAACACTGATTGAATTCCAAAACACACACATCCTGGCAAAGATGATGTTCTCTCAGAGCGCTGCATGCATGTTGTCTCAGATTACAAAAAAAAATAAAGCAACAGGATTCTTACGAGTGTTCTGCTGATTACTTTGAACAAACTTAAAGGGGCAGTGTTACGTAAAAGCGACTTTTTTTTTTTGCTCATCAAAGACATACCAGGAGTGTTGCTTCGATTCCTTTAGTCTCCCATGGCAAAAACATTTGCTCTCGCCGCATTTTCAGCGCATCTATGAACTGGAGCTGCAGCCTCCCAGCCGAGCCTCTGTCCCCCCCAGAGCGCGCCCCTCCCCCACTCTGCTCCTTCAGACTAGCCAGCAGCAATAAGCAAACACCTGAGCGTCTGCTGAGCTCGTTATACGTGAAACACTCTAAAGAACGACTGTAGTCTGGGAAAATAGTGGAAAGTCGTTGAGGACTTCCTGAAGGTGGCAGGAGCTTCTTAAAGAGACAGAGACCCAATTTCAAGTTGTTCAATTGCCAAGTCAAATTTCTTAAAAGTCACAATTCATTTATGTATCATCTTTATAACAGCTGAAGATAACAGTTACTTGGCTGTGCTATAAAATGTCATGTTGTAACTAGAAAATGCCTAATATGCCCCTCTAAACTACTTGGAGTGTTTATCGGAGTCTGTGCGGGTGAAGAGGCCCTCTCCGGGTAAACCAGGGGACCCCTGACTGCGCGGTAGCCGGTACCATCCCTGATAGAGGCTCCTCCACCCCAAGTAGCCCAGAGCTCCTCCCAGCTGCTGAGACGGCCACGCAGGGAAGTATGCCAGCAAACACAGGAGCAAGAGCATCCATATGACGAGCAGAACTACACAGAGGAGGAAGAGGACTCCCAACGGGGAGCTAGGGGGCCTATGAAGACGCCTCTCCTGCGCCAGGTGGAGACCGAATACGGACAGTTCCTCCACAAGCAGCAGGCAGCACAGGCAGAGGACGAGCGTTTCCTGCGACACTTCGTACCCTCTCCACATCATGTTGGCCTTGAGGCACGACGCCTTGCTCTGGTCTTCGTGCAGGAGCAGCAGAGGCTGCCCCGGGGCGGAGGAGCTCTGGGCGTCCTGGGCGGGCGCCAGAGGTTCGTAGCAGGCGCCGGCTGCGTCCTCCAGTAGGGTGAGAAGGCGCCGACAGCCCCACCACAGAAGACCAGCGAGGCCGATCCGAGAGAGGTGGCGCAGGGTGAGGGAGACGGAGCGGCGGGCCGAGAAGGAGAGGAGGGCGACGAAGGAGCCTGTGAGGATGCAGGTCCAGCCCCAAGTAGACCTGAGGAACTTCCTGTAACACGGAGAGCAAAGCTTATGGTTCAAAAGTCTGGAAAATAATGTGAAAACACAAACTTACCTCCCCAGGACACTCTAGATAATTCCAGGTTTCCGATGAAAAGGCAAAAAACTGTCAAAATAAAAAACATGTCTTGCATCTAGAAATTGATCTGGTGTCAAAACGAGATTATTCAAACTAAATGAGAACCGGAGATCGGCTTGCAATCTTTGACATAAACACAAAACGATCAAAGATAATGAAATATTCAAAAGGAGTAGCGCAGTTCTATCATGACAGTCCAACATTTTAAAAGGATGAATAAATCTCAACTATTTCTCTTCAAATAAGTAGCCGTGTTTTACACAGAGGCAGTTTTGACTTCCCAGGATTCGGACAAAAACAAACTTCATGGTCATTCATCTGTACGTTTAAAATGTAAAATAAGTAAATAAGTATCAATATACAGTAGCTATAAGATCATTGGTAATAATTAAGGTTAGTGAGACCCAGAAAATTTCCATAGTAGCATCCAGACTGCAGAAGGCTGTATCACTTATACAGCTGTATAAAGGTGATACAACTATATATAATATATAAAAAAGCAATAATAATATATTTTATTATCATTTACATCATGATTTAACATGATTCTGTGAAGGGGCGGTGGTTTGGTCATGGCCCCCATTAATCCACCCCTTGGAGACACCACTGTTGAAGGTTATTCAATCGATCTGAATACCAATCAATGTTCTCAGCATGAATAATAGTCCTTATAACTGGAATTACCAAGTTATAATTTCTCAGCATATTCTCTTGAGTGTTTTTGTCATATTCCAAACTGACTTTATGCATCAAGCACTTTCCCTGTTTTTCATCAATAGTTTTCATACCCAATAGTCCCCATCAATCCCTCGCATCAGGACCAAAAGCTAATCTCTTTTTGCCGTTGAAAGCTCTCACCTGTACAGGTAGTGGTTGCCGTTGGCGAAGATGCTGTACTTGGACACCCAGAAGCTCAGCAGAGGCCCAAAGAAGACCAGCCCCGACAGCACCAGGTGGAAATGCCTCCGGACCAGGCTGCATCCTAAAGCCCAGGCCAGCAGGCGGGTCACGAACTCCAGGCCGGCACTCAGAGGTCTGAGGATGAATCTGCCCGGGAGAATCAGCTCCGCCGCCACCTTCTGCAGCTTTTCCAAGTTGACTTCTGCCCCGAAGCTTGTCCAGGAGTTTTCGCTGTTTTGATCCATGGAGATCGATGGTCTTGCTTGTTGCTGAACAGGCTGGTGTCCTGTTGGTGTCTCTCTTTTGACTGTAGAAGGCAAACCAGTCCCACTTTGTGGCTGTTAGGCATGCAGCAGACCACATGGTATATAAAAATATAACACCTCTGCCCCCTTTTGCCCTTAAAATCCCCCTCCCCCATCTGAACACAGGCTGAAAGAGGAGACGTCTCCATGCAAGCTGCCACTAATGATCCCATTATTTTTTCAAAGCACCAATTCCTAGTGTTGACACGACAGCTAAAAATACCGGACACTCCTTTGCTTCTCTTATTTTCTTTTCATTTTTGCTGTCAAATTTGAAAGAATTACTCCTACACAGATAATCGGTCTTCTTTTTCTGACTCTCCTTTCATTTCTCGAATAGAATCGCCTATTTTTAGGCTCGAAATTGCTGCAGGCCTGCAATTTGCTCCAGCAAATGGCAACATTTCTCACAATGCTATCAGCTTTTTTTTATTTCCAGTGCAGGACATCAGGCTTCAACCCTTTTAAGCCATTTTTTTTTTTAAATTCTTGAGCAAAAAAAAAACAAAGCACAAAAACAAAAACTGACCACTTCCATTCTTTCCATTAGATCCCTGAGCTATAAACAGGATCAGCTGGGCCTGCTGCCTCCACGGCGAGCTGACAGGCTTGTTCTCTGGCAGCCGAACACGTTTCAGACTGAAAGAAAAACCAAAGTTGGGTTTTTTTCGACATGATTCGAACAGTGGGCGTAAATAAACGAGCCACGCCAAAGAATCCAAGACTAATTTTAGCGTGCTTGCAGCATGGCTGCCGCTACAATGTCCTTCAGGCCTCTTTGCTGTGGTTACTGCGGCCGGTCGCTCATTGTTTATTGTTTGTCGGACGCATTTCCAGCAGCCCCCCTGGTGAAGCGTACAATTAGTCCAGGAAAAAAAAAAATCGATTTTCAGAACAGAGACGCGTCAGAATGACGCTTTGTGTCCTGTGACTTTTTAACCGGGTTTAAAGTGCAATCAGATTACCCTCCAAAACCTAAAGCTTAGATCTAATCACCATTCATCCCTCTGCTGGCTATTTTTTGCCACAGAATCCAGTTTTGTCACTTCCTGAACGGTGTCTGATGCAGAAGACAGCCAGCCACCAACTCAACGTGGTGATGAAGGCTGCTCTGCCTCAGACTCCTACTTCTGCTCTTTTTACATGTTTAGAGCTTAGCTTTTATTTTTCCCTAAAGCAATTTCTCCAACTGTATGGGTAGCTTAATATGCTAGAAGTGCTGGTAAGGTTGATTTCAGTTTTGAAATTGGCCTCTGTCTCTTTAAGATGCTCCTGCTCTTTCAGCACGTCATCACAATTCTGTTTCAAAAACAGAATAGAGTACGAAGTCCAAAATTTGGAGTTTTTGGCTATTTGAACAGCCAGTTCAAACAAAAATGCATATTTTTTATTTAACATGTACATTTTCAAGCTTTATTTGAAAATGTATATTTTACAAAATAACTAGTTTTAAAAGATTCAAATACTCTAAAAACTAATTTTTCATTTAAAACCAGATTTTTATTTTTTTATTTTAAAACTTTTCAGTATGTCAAAAAAGCAAAAATCTAAAAACAAAACATCAGGGCCAAGTACTTTTCTCGCAGCATTCAAGCATTTAACTTTCATTAACTTTAAATCAATATTCTCGTTTGAGATGAGCCTGTGTACCTGGGCAAATCAAATTGCATTTTCGTTTTTTCAGCTCGTCGTTCCTGCCAAGAACCACAAAGAAACACATTTAATAGTGAGAGGCGACAGTCTTTGTGATACAATCAAAGAAAATTCTCTTTTTATTGACACTGTAAAACAACTGTCTGAAATTGAGTCTTGAGGAAATGTATAAACAACAGAAAATTGCATATACAGATCAGTGTGAGAGAGATTAACCACGAGCACGTCCCAGCACAACATCACGCATATTCAAACCTTTTAAATATGTCACAGGTTGATGCCGCCTAGCAAAAAAGATCAAATAAAATCACTCTTAAAAAATAAAAAGCCATCTTGGACCGGCTGGTCGTGTTGCAGACTGGTGAAGAGAGAAATCTATGGTCAGGCGTAGTATTTGGGATTTTGGGCATCTAAATCTCATCACAGCAAAAATGAAAAATCCCGACATCAGTTCCCCGCAATGCACATCTCATTAAAATACTATACATGTATACAGAATCATCATCATCATCATCATGTCCTGCCTGCAATATCCATCACGTCTAACTTATTAAGCACTAACTTATCATTACGTCTTAATATCGCTCTGACTGCAGCGCTTTGCAGCGCATTTTGAGGTCGGGTTAAGTCGAAAGGCGTCGCCTGGTTTATTCTGCACAAGACAAAAAAAAAAAAAAAAACGGAGAGAGGGAGGGACGAAGATCCAAAAACAAACAAGAGGACGTCCCTCTGCGTTCAAAGCCGCTCTTAAGGTGGGACCATTTAGCCGTTTTGAAGCAATGCTCCACCGCCGTGCCAGCCTGGCCTTCGATAATATCCAGCATTGAATTAAAAGGCTCACGGTTCGTCTGAGCTTCCGAACTCCCAGCAGCCTCGGTTCCAGTGGCGGGCTCGTCATCGCGTCCTTCATCTCTTCTCTTCCCTCTCCCGCTCTTCCTCCAGCGGGTGGGTTTGTCTGTGCTCCCACATGCGCACCGCTCCGTCCCACTGTGGACACAGTTTCAAAAACAGAATTGAATAAAAAGTTCAAAATTTGGGTTTTTTGGGTATCTTTTTTTTTCCTAGTTTTTTGTTATGTATGTTGTCAACTTGCTTGCTGTATTTCTAAATTACGGTTAGAATACTGAAATTTTGTATTGTACAAATAGTATTGTATTCTTAATTACCATTTAATTTCTTCTGCTCCATAATTCATGACATTTTATCCTAGTTCTCCTATAATTATTACGTTACATCTGATTGTGTCTGCTCTGTTTCCCCAGACACCCAGTCGGTGTTTGTCTCCTTTAATTTAAAGGGGTGGGGTTTTCCTCTCCACTGTCGCCACATGCATGCTCGGTATGAGGGATTGCTGCAAAGTCATCTATCTGCTGTTGCTACATGTTTTTTTTTCCTCACGATGACTTTTGCTGTGAATCGGCGCAACGTAAATGAACTGAACTGCATGAACGCCGAGCTAAAGACGGCTTCATGTATCAACTCTGTAATCATGTATTTGTATAAAAATGATTTCAAAACCATGTTTGAATCGATTTCAGCACATTCTGTGAATTTGCCTCCACTTCTAATAGAAAAACAAGAGCAAAAGAAATGTTTTTGATTGTAAATTTTAAAAATCCTGCATACCGTCACATGTATTTGTGAAAAGTCAATTTTTATCTGGAAAGTGATAAATATATAGGAGTTTGAAAAAGGGGTAAAATAGCAGCAGAACATGATTTTATTGATATATGTTGGAGAATTTTTCAAAAGAATAAATAGCTTTTTTATTGTAAAAGAAGATAATTCTTCATTAGTCCCACAAATGGGGAGTTTATTTATAGAGAAAATATTATTATATTTAATAAATGATCTCTAAGCAAAAATAATCATCATAATTAACAGTAACAAAGGCTCAAAAACGTCAGCCTGTGTGTAATTAGCCTGTGTTTTCGGTTTCACTTCATTTATTTCAGAAACTAACTTTTCAATAGTTTTCAATTTTACTGAACATTACTGTTTTACGCTTTGCATATATAAAGAAAACAGCTTTAATCTACTATGAAGAGACAAATCTGTCACCTTTGATGCTTTAAATTCAAGACCATTTTACAAAAGTCCAGTTTCTATGTCTCTATGTAAGCATTTCTTAAATTTGGCTTCCTTTAGATGTGAGCCTGTCTGCATGAGCGACACTCACAGAGCTGCTGATGATTTTGTCATCGTAGGGGTGCCAGCTGACGTCCCTCACACACGCGTCATGACCCGACAACCTGGATACCACCATTCCAGTCAGGACGTCGTAGACTGGACACACGCGCACACACACACACACACACACACACACACACACACACACACACACACACACACACACACGCACACACGTATACAAGCAACTCGTCAGCCTCGGGAAGAGGAAGAGCGGCGTTTTTTCTTCACGCCGGGAGTTCCACTGGAACGAGGACTCACTGACGATTTTTCCCGTGGAGCAGCCGGAGTAGATGAACCTCTGCCCGGTGCTGAACTCCGGCGAGAAGCGGCAGCGGATGAGCGTGTGCAGAACGCCGTGGCCGCGGTAGGTCATCACCGAGGTGTCGCCGGTCAGTTTGTGTTTCTTCAGGGCTGCGAATCCAAAACACGGATTTTGAAAATGTGAACGTTTAATGTAGAGAAAGGTTGAATGTTTCCGACTTCTACGAGTCGTCACACAAGTGATCTGAATTTTACACTCAAACTCATCAAGCTGCACTCTTTCTCAATAGGGTATTTTCTTGTAAATTCAAGTATTACAAAAAAATGGTTAATTAATCCGAATAACTCGATTTAAAATAATATAATGAAGGATTCGTTACACTTGAAATTGCTTTTGCAACAATTGTTGTTTTGATGCCATTTTTGAAGGCGTAATATAAAGAAGTTGTAATAATGCAATTTTTCCCTCTCGATACTCAATAAACTTTAATTTTGTAAAAAGAAAAAAAAAACTTAGTACTGGAATTGGAAGATATTTTAAATGTCCAAAATAAAACACAACAAACAAAAGCAACAAATGAAATGAAAAAAAAGCACACATATCCGAAAACAAAAACAAAACTGCACTTTCAAAAATATTTAATCATCAGAATGAAAATGATCAAGCTTGTTTTTATTCATAATGCGATTAATTGATTACTTGATTAATTGCAACAGGCTTGAGCTTTGCCTTGCAATCCTCTCAGGTTTGCAGTGATCTCTTGCTCCTTGTGCCCCTTTTTAATTGGTCTAATTTAATTTTCAGTTTTCATCGTCCAAATTAACTAAACTAAATGATTTAAATGCATAACTCGTTTTTTTTCTTTCTTTTAATGTAGCTGAATTACTACATTTGACAAACTTTTAGACGACGTTCTAATTTACTTAAGTGAGGCCCCTCAGCCCCGTCCTCACCTCTCTGGGGAACCTGCTGCCAGCGGTAGTCCCAGTTTTGTTGGGTGACTGCCAGGCGGGAGGCAGCCAAACCCTCTTTGGGTGAGAATTTCCGGACGTCCCACAGCTTGATGGACTGGTCCTTCGAGTTGCTAATGAGATAGCGAGCGTCGCCCTGACACACAAAACGCAACGAAGACTTGAGGCGCGTAAGCCGAACATCAGACACGGCTCCGACGGAGCAGCAGTGCCACCCACCTTGCTGTGGATGAAGGTGACGCCGTCTCTGTGGCCGGCCAGCTGTCCGACTGGCTGCGGCCTGTCCTCTCGCAGCGTCCGTCTGTCCCACACCTTGCATAGAGCGTCGTCGCTGCCAGAAAAGAGCAGCTGGGACGAGCTGTCGGCGAACGCCACCGCGTTCACGTCGTCCTCGTGGGCATCGATCTGGGGAAGGGTGGGGGCCACAAAAGAGAGAGCTGGTTGTTGTGGGCGACATGTAATGCTCAAAACAGAGATAGAAGTGGGGACGGACTCAGATGGTGATGGAGCAGATGGTGGCAGTCACCTACTGACTGCTCCGCAGGGTGAAGCTGAGGGGCGAGGGAGTTTGGTTCTTATCCTGAGATGCACTCGGTGCAGCAGCATGACTAGCCACTGGAGAAAAGTCTAACACTGCAGGAAACCTTGGTTGATAGATGATCGCAAAAAGCACTTTCTCTGTGCCAGCGCTGTACATCTGGAGTAGACGTTACGTGCTCATGCCATTCTTCTTCGCAAAATAGATTAAGCTTAGTCAGCTAGATGCAGAGCACCAATATTTAAAGCTGTTGGATGTAAGGTTTATAAACAGTATGTATTTTTTACATATTTGTTAAAACTGTCAGTATGTTCTTACATTATAATACGAGACAGATAATGTGTGAAAAAAAAAAAAAAAAAACAAAAAAAACGAGGTCCTCTGGCTTCTCACTTATGTGCTGTGGCTAGCTAGTTAGCTATGATGGAGGATAAACAGTTTTCCTGGAACGGCAAGTTGTTTCTTCACCCTTAGCACATTAAGCAGAGTGTACATTGGTTGGCGGCACTAAGACCCTCCCCCTGGCTCTGATTGGTTGTTTCTGACTGGGAGCGGTGCATTTCTGCAGATGGCAATAGGAGCAAATGAAAAAGCCAGAGGTTATCTGTCTCCAATTATAAAGTCAGGAGAAATTGATGTTCGCCATTGGATTTAAGTTTGGAACAATTATTATTATTAATATTATTATGAGAGTATTTTGATGTCATCCATTCCATTGGAGCTCCTATAAACAGGTTTTCTCCGAAGATTGCCTTGTATTTAGCTCCACCCATCATTTCATAAACCCCATTTCCCCAACCAACAAAACATCCAAACAGGATGATACTTTCAGTACCACATTTCATAAAGCTGACGGCGAAATCAGTCTGCCAGTGTCCTTCCTATGTGTAACATTTAGAATAGATGCTCATGTCCGACTTCACCCGAAACGAGAAACAAGCACACCGACCTTCACTCACCTTCAACGTTCGTTTATTCTGCTCAAGATCAAAAACGTAAAGGCAGCCGTCGTTTGCTCTGAAAACACAGGACGGGAAACACTGAATACATTCCCGCTCGAGACTTCCAAGCAATTTACATCCTTCCTTATTAACTGGTGAAGTAAGCAGCGTCCGCTCCCTCAAGACAAGCAGCTGCAACAATGGATTCAGTTTTTTCTTAAAAGAGCTCTCAGCGCTGCCTGTCAGTCACTGCTTTGACGCGTGACAGCGAGTTGGACTCACCCGCCCAGAATCTCTTTGCCATCTGTTGACGCAGCCAGCGAGAACACGCAGAACCTCCTCTCATCTGGACTACAGAGCACACACACACAAACACACACACACACGTTATTATCACAAAGCAGTAAATCCCAACCTTGCAGCCTACCAAGTGATATTGCACATAAAAAAAATCAATAAAAAAACAGCGACATGAATTTGAATGAATGATCTCGACATTAGACAGAGGGACACAGACACACTTGGAGAGGAAGGACAGGATGGATGACGGGGCGACAGCTGCTGACAGCGTCATTCATCCGGGTGGAAATGAAGGGGGAGCTGAAGGAGGCCAGGCGGGTAAGGAGTGATAGATTACCTGCTTTGTAATGTTATAAGTTACTATGAGGGGAAACACTAACTTGAGGTCCAGGGCGGTGTGGTTTTCACTGTCTCCATCTATACTGCACAAATGAACTGTGGGAGAGACAGAGACAGAAAGGGAGCATGTGAGAACCAAATGTTCTTTATCGCGCCAGTCGAATAAAAGATTTCGGGATAGGCGTGGGATAGCTATCGGTAGCTCACAGTGAGGTTTATACAAGAAAAAACATTCTTTGCATTTTCATGAGTGTGCCACTCACCCTAACTTATTCACTAAAAAGACAAATCTGGATGTTCGGGAAAAAATTCATTATATGAAAACCGTACTTTATCGGCAATTATGCTATGACTTTTGCTTAAAGCTGCTGCATAATAATATTTTACACATTTATTCATTCTGCTGTTATGGCCTTACAAAATAATATCAGAGCAATAATATAGGAAAAAGAAAGTCCAGCCATCTGCAGAAATACACAGTTGGAACAGAAGCAACCAATCAGTGAAGAGGAGGGTCTTAGCGCTTTCAATCAGGGTGATGTGTGCGCTGCTCACATCCGCCACCTTGCTTTATGCTACGCTACAACTTCTTCCCCACAGCGGAGCCTACCGTGAATGCTAAGGCTTGTTAGCATGACTACCAATGACGGCAGATAGAAAGTTTTCCTGGACCAATAATTTACAGCTGTGCTAACAGCTGTAACTTGTACAAGAGATTGGTTGACAGCACTATGACCCTCCTCCTCCTGGCTCTGATTGGTTGCTTCTGAGTCAGCCGTGTTTTTCTGCATACGGCAGTAGGACCACAGGGAAAATGTGAAGAAGCTTGATTTTTATTTTTCCACAGATTATCTCATACACTTTTAAGAAATATGTCAAATTATATATTTTCAAAACACAGCTTTAGGTTTGAGTTTCAAAATCAAAATGCTAATATGTTGTACAAATAATGAATGTTTCATTTATTCTAGTGTTACTATCTTGTTTCAAATATAAATTGCTTAGATCCACATTTATATTCTGATGACTTTTAATTATTTGAATGACTAATGATTATGTTATTTAAGGAGAAGCGGCAAAAGCAAATGAGGTGGATTAGGGGGCCTGCACTTTTTCACATTAACAACTGACGCTGAATATCGACCCAGCTGTCAGCAACGTCACTTTGAAGTTCTGCAGCAGAACCACGGATGAGGAAATCAGAGAAAGGGGACGAGTCATGATCCGAACAACATCATCTGTAAAACATGTGTGAGCATAAGAACTTCAAACAGTAAAATCTGTTTCACAGCAACTGCTCTCCGAAGAAGCAGCACGACTTTGCCTCTGCAGTACATATAAACAAATAAACAAGAACAGAATCGCGCTTTTTCCAAGCTGCTTTTTTATGTCCTTCAGAAAGAGAAATCAAAACCGATTAAAAATCAGTAAGTCAAGGCGTCGCCAAAACCGCATCTCAGAAATTGGCGAGAAAATTCCGATCCACGTGGAAAAAACGCTGAGATGTGGTCACTAAACTTGGGAAATACCTTCCCTGGTGTAGCAGTGTTTCAAGTGTCTCCCGTTTGTCTCAACGTCCATTTTCAGTCATTAAAAGTAGTTGGCCTTACTGTAATCAGACCAGCTGGAGTAGAGCACGTTGCGAGCATCCGGAGTGAAGCAGACGTCCAGCACGCTCCAGCCCACGTCGCGCGCCTTCACTGTCTGCTGCAGGTGGAAGCGCCCCCTGGTGGTGTCGTACAGCCGGATATTCTGGTCTACAAGACAAACAACATATATTTGCACTGCTGAAACTCAAACATTTCCAGGATTTAAAGTAGAAAATGACACGTTACCTTTATGTAGCTATTTATCATTATTATTATTGTTATTATTTGCTGTAACAATAGTTTGCTGTAATTTTGCCCCACTAGTGTATCTGAGTTGCGTTTGTAGGCCGCCTGAATCGCACACAAAGCTTTCTTTGAGACCGAAATAAAGACTTTGCAATGGCCACTCCAAAACATTGACTTTGTTGTCTTTTAAATTAATTTGGCTGTATGCTATAAGAGTCACAATCCATTTGCGTCACCCAGTTTTCACTTTCTGGATGATATCTTGCTTGGGTATTTTTAATCTCTTTTGTGAAGTGCAGATTAACGAATGCGTGCATTCAAGCATCTTTGCTGTCAAGAAAAGACGCTTGACGTAAAAGCTGGCTAATTCGTTCTTCGTTCTGCACTAAGCAACCTTTAGGTCCCAATTATATTTCAAAGATAAAAGATTCAGGACCCCAGTCGAGCTTTACCGCCAGTATTAGGCTCCTTCTTCAGTGCCTGCAGCAGCACATCAACAGTGAGCATTTTAATGAGGAAAACAAATAAAATCAAATGACTAGGGAGGAAGGTGGCAGCTGTGTTGTTTACTTCCAAAATAGCAACCTAATAAAAACAGAAGTATGCACTAAATGAGGAATTGGGTGGGGGCTGGGGGGTGGCAAAAGAAAATGGCTTTTAAACAAGAACTGCAAATAATTCCAGGATCATTTCCTCTGGGTTCTCATGTCAAATGCCATATTGTTTACCTTGGCAGGCGGAGAGGAACATGTTGCCCTCCTCACTGTACACTCCACAAAAAGCTTTCTGCAGGTAAGTATCCTTGTGGGACACATAGTTTGGCAGAAAACTGCAAGGAAAAGGGTCAGAATAGGGTCAGAAAAGTCATCATTGTGTTCAGTGCATAAAAATCTAATTGTATATACATATATTTTACCAATTTTCATTTTATTTTTTTGACGGGGGGGGTGGATATACTCACTGTGTGCGGATACGGCTGCACTCTCCATGGGAAAAACTGGAGCCTCTACATCTGCCTTGTTCTCTCTGGGCATAAAACAGTTAATAAACAATTACTACCTGACAAAAACACACACAAGCAATTAAACTCTGTTAAATACATATTTATAATCATGTTTAACACAAAACAAGTTCGTGTTTGATATTTTGCCATTTTTATTTATCTTTTTATTTCTGGGGTCGGACCTCTGTGAGCATGTGGGTGAAACTGTGTCGGCTTTTCAAGGCGGACGAGGCCGTAGCCAGGAGGATCTGCGTTCGGATCTCACTGCGGTCCACTTCCTGTGTGTCGGGCTGGGAGTCCACTGGACAGGAAGAAACGCAGTCTAATAAGCAAAAAACTGGAACTGGGTCCTTCTAAGACATACAAATCAGCTGATTTTTTTATAGTTTTCAAGAACTTTCTACTCAGGAGTCGACGTGATTTTACATGAGCACCAAGACAAATTGTAGTTCTGAAAAACGGGGACAACAGGTTATGCGAGAAGAGACGATCAAAACGAGAATTTGGCTGGCTCCCACGGAGCCGCGCGAGGAGACTACCTGGCGGATTGTAGCGGTCGCCCAGCCGCCCGTCCCAGGCTCCGTCGCTGTCCTCATCGGAGTCAGAGTATGACTGGACCAGCTGCAGTCCAGTAGCTTCATGGCCATGGACCACTCTGACCTGGCCCCTGCACACAAAAAGACAACATTGATCAACATCCACGCAAGAATACTGACAGGAATCTAAACCGATGCACCGAAAATAGAATCCTTCATGCAAATTATGTGGTATATGTAATTTAGTGTTTTCCTCTGTTGCAAGGTGAACACGGAGGAGCTCAAAAAGTAGATAAGTGCAAAAAAGTCACAGTCATTTTCAGTTTACGATAATGTATGAAATTGCATTGAAATATTTCACTTTTTGTCACACATTTTGTGCTAGACCAAAAATGGAGTAAAAGAATATTGTCAAGTGGAAGGATATCAGTTTGTGTAACAAAAATATTGCAAAGCGGCCGTTTCTGACCGATATACTCCAGATGTCACGAGTTCACACTGCATACAAATGTAACCTTCAGTGTTGCCAAGGAGTGCAAAGGTCACAGAGGTTTCTGGAAGCAACGCACGGAAAACAACAGAGGAGTGAGGAAAATGTTGGATTCATCACAGCAGATATCGCATCCACTGTAAATGTTATTTATTTATTGTCTTTAGGAACAGCTTGCGGTTTCACACCATGCAGGAAACGTAGCACGCCTCCAGCAAACGGTGCTCCACTCGCATTAGATCAATTTACTTTTTTTTGCAACAGAAGGAAAACGTGGCCTCTCAGAAAAACTGGTTGGCTCACAATATCGGTGAAAAACTGGTAGTGGCAGCATCATGAGGTGGGAATATTTTGACTTCTTGTTTGTAAAGAAAAACAAACAAAAGAAAAGCTCAAAACCGTGTTTCATTTGAATTCGCTATATCAGTTTTAACATTTTCTTTATTTCTTTTACTTATAGAGTAAGTAAAATTTAACTAAAGAGATAGAAGGGTTTTTTTTGGGGGGTTTTTTTTTAGAGACTAAATCTTAATAAGCATATCAGCAACGGAATCAACAGGTATAAAATTACTATTTTGCGATTAAAATTACAGCCATTAAATTTAATTAACAATGGAGCAAAGCCATGTCTCGTGTGAACAAGCCAGTAGTTTTATATTCTAGAACTGGATTTAATTACAAATTCTTTCTTTTTCAGCACATAAACATTCAGTCAGAATGTAGGTTATCGTGGCCCACGCCACAAACACGCTTTGGAAGGAACGCTGCTACTTCAACATCCAACGGTTTCTTCGTCTTTTAACGTTTTACTTTATTCACTTCCCACCCCACACACACCCCAAAAATTCTGATTTTTGGGGGGGTTGTGGGGAGGGGGGGGGGTAAAAACAACAAAAACAAACAAACAACAACCACAAATTTTAACGCCCTTCGAGTGACCCCTAACGCTCCTAAGCCCTAAACCAAGAAAACAAAAATACGGATAAAATGCAATTAAGACTAAAAACCCGCAAACGTCAAACCGATGTAGTAGGTGTGATTATCGATTACACTGTCTGCTTCCATGCACTTGAACTGCAGGGTTGTTCAACGTGTGCATAGGTGAACGTTCTCCGTTGCCTGCACGACGTTCACATCGAGGACATGAAAGCTCCACTGTTTTCTATGGTAACAGCCTCGTGAAAGTGATAGCCCTGCCATTCACAATTTCATTGATAGGGATTCTGTGTGTCATCTGGACTGACCTACATAACATAAGCGACCAGGAAGTGGGTCGTTTTAGACCCATTATGTGAGTTTACAGAGCCATTTGGATTCCCTGAGTTGTCCAATTATTTTGTAGTGTCTTTGCTCTTGTTTTTTTTTTTTGTTGTTGTTGTTGCATATAAATGACTTCCTGACACATTTACCTTCTCAGTAGGTAAGCCAGCACTTCAGCTAAATCCACGTCCTCCTCGAAAGCGGACTGCCTGTCGCTCTGCTGCCTGTCAGCCGTCCTGCGGCCTCGGCTGCTGCTGCTGCTGCTACTGCTGCTGCTGCTGCTGCTGTTGCTCTGGCTCTGGTTCTGGCTCGGTTCTGCTGCTTCAGACCGGTCTGCTGGGTTGCCACTGGAAGAGCCCCTTCCACAAGACATCCCAGAACTGGACTGCGAGCCCATAGACTGAGAGGGCCTGGCAGAGACAGAGTTAGGAGACTTTCTTTATGGGGGGCAATTTGGGGTTTTAGTTTTGCAGAGGTCAGGTGAAGAACACCGTGTGTATTAGGAGGAAATAAAAAACAATAATTAAAAAAGAAGCGTTAGGTGATGTCAGACTGCATCTAAAGGAGCCACTTTGACAAGTTATTTGATTACTTTGACTTCTTAAACCCAAACTACCTCAGTGGTTCGCCAAATAGAATCTAGCGTCACATTTATCCTGTGTGTTCGTGCTGCATGAAACGATTTGGAAGAGTTAGCTGAAGTTGCTAACGACAACAATAGCTACCGATGGGCAGTCCTCTTGACAGCTCGTCGGTTCAACTCCTGCTGGGTTCGGCGGCTGGACCGGGATTTTCAGCCCGGTCGACCACACAATGCTGGGGGGGTGTTTTCGCAGCGAGCGAGCGGGTTTTACCACAGCAGCGCGGGGTTCGATCAGTGGGCAAGCTGGGCCACTCCGTCGATCGCCATGTTGTTTACAAAAGTGTGAAAAAACCCTGCGGGTCACGTGACCAGCTGTCGTCACATAGCCTTAGAGCATAAATAACTTTTACACCTCAACGACGTGTCACGGAAATTAACGTTTGTTACGTACGACACGTAACTTTATTAGCAATAGATTGTGAATTTTTCTCCAAACTATATATATTTTTTGTCCCTACAAGCTTTATAGAACTTCTTCATGACAGACCAACACATTGTTATAATAATAATAATAATAATAATAATAATAATAATAATAATAATGACTATTATTAATAATAATGAAAACAATAATAATAATTAATAATAATTATTATTATTATATTGTTATAATTATAATATTAATTATCATACTTATATAATTAATAATTATATTATATAATAATAACAATATAATATATTAATAATAATAATATAATCGTGATTATAATAATAATAATTATTACTATTATTAGTAGTATTATTGTTGTTATTGTTTATAAACTATAGAAAGAAAACACTATCATGTAAATCCTGAAGAGTGTGGCTTGTATTTGGGCTTCTTGAACCTTCATGAGCCAGTCAATTGGACAGCAAATCCAGAATAGCCAATTCATTTTCCCTCAATATCAGAAATATCAAAGTCAGTCAAATATACAGCTTGTGTCGTACTGCCAAAGCTAAATATATTTAAATATATTTAGCTTGTGAGCTACTAGAAAGGGAAATTACGTGCATTTTCAGAGGGCGTCTCAAGTAGCGTTCCCAGACTGTGGAAAACTGTAAGCTGTTCTTTTTATTGTTGTCCTCTTGCTACTCCTCAGCCAGAACCAGATTTGTGGAGTAAGTTAAGTTCTTAAGTTCTCTGTAGATCATTAGGTCTTCCTTGTTACCATCATGGTTTTTTATTTTATTTTATGCAAATAACCATTCAATGACCCCTCTCAAAACAGGCATAATCTAATAAAGACAGATAAGTTAAGAGTAAATAGGTCAGGAGCTAACATTAAGTTCATACAATAACATCTGGGCTGGTTTTAAGGGTGAAAACAGGCTAATCAACTTTGAACTCCAGTCCAGAAGACTCTGAATTTCTGGAGGAAGAAATTAAACCTGCAAAGAGGATTTAGTGTGATTAAAAGCATTTTTTTAAAGAAACTACTTTGCAGAATAGTTTTGTTCATGGGTATAACTCAAAAGTTGTGTGGTTGGTCTCATCAGCTGGATTCAAGTGCTAGACTGCAAGAGCTCAAAACGCCACAGGTTTTGGGGTGGTAGCTTGAAAAAAAAAAAAAAAAAACCCCAAAACAACAACACAGAAATATCTGAAGTGTTCTTATTAAGTAACCCAACAGTGTGCGATGCATCTCTCCAACTCTGTGAAGGTAAACATGTCAGGGTGTGACCTGGCTCTTGCTCGCTGACTTCCAGCATACGCCCCATTAATGGATAAATGGATTTTCATGCAACCGTTTCCTTTACTTCCCCCAGAGGTGTGTTTTTTTTCTTCTTCTTCTTCAGTGACTGAAGATGTCTTAAGGCTTTTGTTTTTATTGTTTGCACTCCTTTGTGCTGCCATTTTAACCCCAGCTACGTAGAAATTATAGACTTAGACTGATAGACTTGTTAAGATCCATCCCAGGTTTTTGTATTAATCCCCACCGGAGCTAGTTTGGACGAGTAGAAGTCAGTTTTATTCATCTTGTTTATTTAGCGCAAGGCTCTGTTCTCCACAAGCGTTTAATTCAGATTTAGTTTCTGTTTCAAAAGAGCATTTTTGTCCAACAGTACCTGCGCCGGCATTAGACCTCATCTTGACTCGATTTAAACCTTGTCGGGGAAACTGTTCAACTGGCTTAAAAACCAGCAGGTAAAGTTGCGAATAAGTGTGAAAAAACTTGTCTTGATGGTTCAGAATAAAATCGTAAAACTATCTGTGCTTGAAACTTCCGGCACAAATTGGCCAGAACAGCCACTGTTGGGGTCTCAGCAGGTGAAAATCCATTGCTGACGAACGACTAAAAAAATTTTATACATATGAGGGCCAGAAAAGTTGAAAGTATTCACAGGCACCACCACTTGATTATTTTTAAAAGCTACAAAGCACTAAACTAAACAGAAAAGTCAGATTTTGTCAATCATTGTAGGTCCAAGTGTGATTTAAGGTGTTCATCATTTCTTTGTGATGACTTTGCAATCTTTTTAATTTACTGGTTTGTAAAATTTTGCACCGATTTTAAAAGCGGCTGCACACCCAAGGCTGGTTTTGTCAGTGGATGTGGTAAAAAAAAAAAAAAAAAAAAAAAAAAAAAGATTAGTAAAAAAAGATTACTTTTGTGAAGCACCTCGCAAGTTTTCAGAAGATTTCAATCGATCTGATTCCTCTTTTAGAGACCCCACATCAGCGAAAACTTTTAGCTGCACCTTTCCTGTGCTGGTGACATTTGGTCACAAATTTGTGACATTTCTCAGCAGTGGTCGCGGGCTGCTCAAAACCATTCAGCCCACCGCAAATGGTCTCCGGGCCGCTCTTTCGACACCTCGGCTCCGTTTTATCAAAATTCTCCAGAGAAGAGAAATACAATTTTGCGTCATCACACAGTGAAATTGTAGTAAGTATGAAGCGACAATTCATTTGTCCTACTCTCAACTACCAAAGTTGAATTTTTATTTATTTATTTTTTTTGACAATTTGCACATTATCTGTAAACTTAATATTGAATTGTTAAAGCTTTGCCTTTAGAACATTGGAGTACATATAAAGCCCTGGAACCTTTCCTAAGATACACGGGCGAGTGACTGAACAGACGCCTCAAAGGGCATTGTCTATTCGAGCTTCATTATCAAGAGAGACTTCCTCTTTTACAAACTTGCTGCTTTGGTTAACCAAAAATAGCCATCAAACATAATTATTCTTGTTCCCCTAAATTATCTGTATTCATCATTGTAGTTGCTGTTCTCCTTCTCACTAAATGATTCAAATTCATATCGCGTAGAAGCCTTTCATCTGAAGATGGGGAAGTTATTGAGGTAAAACCTTTCCAAAAAAAAAAAAAAGATTAAAAAAAAGCTCAAATATTGTCAGGTTTATTTGAGCAGTGCTGCACTGTTAGACTATCACATGATCCGGTGTTTGCATGGTGCATTTTTTTTTTGTAACTGGTTTAAAATAGCGACTGCTTTTGAGATTCAATTAGCGCACATGGCAGCAAACGTGACTTGGTGAAACCCTGTTTAACTGCATAGTGAGTAGCCTTTAATTTGAGTATGCATATGTACTAGTTTGGCATTAAGAAATTATTTTAGCAAAATCAGAGGTGACACATCTAAGAATTTTTATAAACTTGTTACTGCAGCTGTAATTTATATTGAAAGGCAAACTTTGTTTCTTTGGTGTATAAGTGCAAACACACAGAGGCCAAGTTTTTTCTTGCACTCCTCAAAATGGTAATGACAAAGAAACATGCGAATGAGATAACAGCTGATCTCCAAAAGTCTCTGAATTTTGATAAGTCGGCAGATTCTCATCTAAATGCATTTATACATACAGTCAAAGGATCTCGAAAAGCTTTAAGACAAGAGAAACATCTCCATAATGACCATAAGTTGAGATCTTCTTACAAACTGATTTAGATAAAATACTAGAAAATACCATCAAAGGACTATTTGACTTTTTGTCAAAAGAAAAATGATCCCTCCACATGGATCTGAGGTGAATGAAAGAATGGAGATTTGCAGTAAAGTTTGGCATTATTGTTAGCAATAATGGAAAATCTGTGGCGCTTTCTCTTCTAAAGGCTCAGTAAACTTAATTACTTAAGAAAATCCTCTGATTTGGACTAGTTTTAGGCTTCTTTGGCTTAAATTTACCAGTGGTACAAATAATTGTCGAGGTTACTGTGAAAAAAAAAGAAAAGAAAAGCAGTTTAGTAATGCTAACCAGAACCGGACTAGCAGATGCTAATCAACTTCGTTTTTGGCTCCATAGCAACATGAATTGTAATAGATGACAATAACATAAAAGCAGCATTAAAGACATAAGAATTAGTTGTTTAATTTATAGTGTGCAATGTCAGCATACTGTTTGCATTGTCGCAGGAGTGCAGTGTTAACCTGCTCTACATTAAGATGCAGTCAACAGTCCATAAGAGTGGGAATGTCGTCTCCGATTGACAGATAAAAATAGATTACCCTTTTTGGAAGAATGAATAGTTCACATAGTGCTGTGACTGGCAATGACATTTATAAGAATGTTCATTAGGCTGGAGCAACTGCAGTTTCATGACAGGTTCATTCTCAAGCATTTTTTACAATTACCCAGAAACTGCATTTTGATACAATCCACTCTGCTTATCCAATAACGACATTAACTCTGTAAAATATGACCAAGTACAGTGAGGGACTATTAGAATCAGTGGTATTGTGCAGTATTTTTTTCTATAAAACGTGCGCGCTCAGCAGTATTGCATATTGCTCTGGACGATATCTTTTAAGGTAAACGGTCATTTTTCCTTCAACTCGCCTCTCCTCGTTCAGACCTGAGTGGGAAAAAAAAAGGAACCAGAAGAGAAAATCTTCACTAATCCAGAAAAGATAAAAATTATGTTACAGAAATAAAGCAAAGAACACAGATAGCCTGACAGCTTTGAGCTCACCCAGCCTTTGAGCGGTGTGTCTGATCTTTTCTTGTGCAGACTGTATGTCTCCCCCCTCTGGAACAAGGACCTCTATCTCCCCCACATGGTAGCCAAAGTCAGCTTGGTCTAGATCTATCTTCACCCCATCCTCTCCTTTCAAAGTAAATGACCTCCGTGTGGTGGTAAACTCTGCGAAGCAACACAGCTCCAACTTGCTCAGCCAGGAGTCGTCTTCGTCAGAGGGGGGAACATCCACATCGCAGTCCTCATGTGTGTCTTTAATCACCTCCTTCACTCTCTGGTAAATGTCAGGCAAATTCGTGATCTCCTTGTATCGAGTACACAGAGACTGTTCTCTTCCTGGATCTGCGGCGCCATTGACCGGATCTATCGGACACTTGAGC